TTTTCACGCATAGAGAACCTCCCCCACAAACTGTTCAACAATAGCTTGTTTATGGCACGCTGGGCGGGGTTATGACAAATCATTGAGGGGTCAAGTTGAATCCCCTCTTTCTCGTAGTACTCGTGAATATAAGACTCTTTTTCAGCATCGGTGAGTACGTTTGAAGGGTACCCGGATGTTTGTTGTTTCAAACGCAAAAACGTTTTAACGTATTCGCTAAACAATTTATCTGTCCTTACAGGAAAATGCCAAACTTCGTCGAGTTTGACGACTACATAGCCTTTCTCGATCGCTTTTAAGAGCTCAATACTGACCCAGCAGCCGGAAAGAGCCCTCTCGTCATCTGTGTGATCGCAGCATGATGTCTGGTTTTCCGCATGCACGCATGTGCGACATAGGGGGAACATGAGTTTACCGCCGCATCTGTAAGGTAGGACCGGGTGTAGTAATTTACGCGGCGGATACACGGTGGCCTTGATAAGACCGTAATAATTTTCAATCGGTTGAAAATCGTGGAAAATTATTTCCGGGTGACCTATTGGGTAACTCTTTCTTGATTGGCAGAACGGGTAGAGAGATGTAAAATCAAGGTAACTGATTTTCTCTCCATCGGACACTTTGTGATACAACTTATTAGCATTCGTGCGCCCACCAAAAAGAGCATCTCGGGGTTTCAGTCTCTCGGGAGCCGAATAAGTGCTCATAAATTCCATCACTGAAGCGTTTGTCTGCTTCATCTTAGTCCATTCACATTCCCAGATAACCTCTACCTTCATACCATGCAGACTTTGTAGAATTTCGACCTTTTCGTCAGACTGAGTTCTGAGAACACCGTACGGGACCAACAACAGTCGGTGTAGGTCGTGGGGCTCGTAGCGACATTCATGCCCATGGTGGAAACAACCGTTGAATTCGAGAGCATACTTAACTCCGCCCTGTTCATAATAACAGTCTAAGAAAAATTTACCGATTTGCATTTCACCATGATTCAGAGCATGATGAACGTCGACATTTCTAGAATTTTTTTACATACTCCAACCATTTGATCGACACGCTTGAGAACGTCTTATTTTGTTGAATGTACGCATTATTGTGGGTTAGAGCCACAGTGTCCTCTACGAGATAATGAGTTTTGAAGACCCCCATACAGCAACTTGCAAGAGTCGTGAAACTGAACGGATCGATTTGAGTACACTCTATGAAGGATTCGCGGTATTTCATACACGCTTCGCGTAGCAAGATAACATTGTTTTCACCATATTGGTACAATTGCTCCTTAAAGTCAAAGACCGAACGTGAAGCAGTAGTGTACCATGCGTCGAACTTTGCACAATCTTTTTCAGATAGGTTGTCATACCCATAGAACTTTTTGTCTGGGATCGGTCCGATATAGTTCTCATTTTCTTTTCTATTGAAATGATGCGGAAAGTAACCTTTCTCCGTCGTGGTGATTTAATGCCGCGGGCATCTTCGATAGAGCCATCGGGATGAATGATATGCTATCGATGTAGCGGTGTTCGAACACATCATCGATCATTAATATTAATTTACAACCTTGCATGATGATGTCCATTTTTAGACCGGCTTTGCAGTAATATTCGAGAATTAGAAAGGAGTCAAATCTGGACACGTTATGAGCTATAAAACAGTAGCCTTTGTATTTCGGTTTTCTGAAATGCGTAATCATTTTTTCCACACAATCAGTTCCTGCAGCTACAAATTGTGTACCGTGAAATGTTATTGCGCAGACAAAATTAGCCACGTGCCTGCCATTTTCATAACGGGGTCTTAAAATCGTAAAAAACATATTTTTTCTGTGGTTTTTTGAGTCTTTCAGAATTGATAAAACATTCATGAATCCCTGGGCTGGTAAGTTCTTCACGACATGCCCAACAACGGATCGGGGCGCACTCATGCGGTGACTTGCGCTTTTCGTAACGTCTACCGCATTCCTTGAAATATTTTATAACGTCACAAGGAGCTTGATCTCTTTCAAGCACCGGCTTCTTGTGAGCGTCGTAGCAGTAAGCCGATTTACAATAACGCAAACAATCGCGGCAATGGATGGTTTTTTTAGGATGCTTGTAGCAATCACTGTGAAACCAGACATTACAGACGTAATCGCATTGGTGCTGGTTAAGCTTCGAGAACCCTTTAAAGCAAAATTCACACACATAGCTAGCGCCTATGAAAGATGTCAAATTGAGAATCATGTAGTAATGTTCGTCTTGTAGATAAAGGAACAACGTTTTGAGGTAGGCTCTTTGTTATTTACGTAGGTTTATAACACGCCAGTGTTTAACCTATAAAAAACAAAAATTTTTACATCAAACAGTCGTTCAAATCTATCAATGTCGTGAAGACCTAGTTCCTGTTGGATAGCAAGACCAGCTTTATTGTGTATGATCGCTGCACGGTTTTCTAATTCACACTCCGGTAATTCAGGCTCTAGAAAATGTGCTAGACATATAGAGAAGCATAGTTTGTTTGATATGTTTGTAGGTATAAATAAGCTCGTCTTTTTTCTTTTTATTACCTGATTAAACGCCAAATCAGTGAGTTTACGACGAGCCCCACCGCCTCCTAGTCTGTTCATTACAACATCAGCTTCGATCTCGACAGTTTCGTTAGCTGCTAACTGGTCATCGCTCTGTAGAATTTTCACAATTTGGTCCATAAAAAGATTAACGTCATAATTATTACTCTGTGTTAAAACAGCGTTTACATCGGATTTCAGAGATGGGGTTCTAAGGCATAAATTGATAACGCTACCGTCACCGCCAATCTGTCTAGCAAATGACATTATGTCATCCATTGTATTGTGTAAACAAATGTGGTACGTCGCTAAATCCTGTGATCTTATTTCTCTCATATTTAAAGACCTACGCAGCGATACGCTGTTGAAACGAGGTCTTGGTAAAACATGATATTCATTTACACTACCACCTTCTCTCAACAATGTTTCAATGTCGATATGTTGTTGACCTAAAGGTTCAACAATAGCGGCTGTTGATGGTTGCTGATCATTGTCGACAGCCGGGTCCGGTGTTTTGATATTACTCGTATCATTTATCATGCGACTAGTCGTCGGCTGTTCATGATCAATCGGCATAGCTGACGGCATACCGTTAGTGTCGTTATAAGGAGTGGCACCCTGAGTTAGTGCCCCACCGCCCTGTTCGCTAGATAATAACGTTTGTACGTAGTCTGATAAATTAAATTTATTTTCCTGATCCATCTCATCTAAATTTCGACTTAAAATAGAATCGATGTTAAAAGCATCGTCCATAGAATTTAACTGCAAATCATCTAAGAATCTATCTGTGTCAGGATCAATAGACTTTTGTGGCGTAACAGATAATGATTGATCTGGTTGATTTTTGTGTGCATCATCTGAGGTATTTACGTTACCCATTACAGCTATTTTATTTACTTGATTATTATTTTGAATTTAAAATGTTTACTTTATTGTTTAAATTAATGATTACTTTTATTGAATATCGTACCTTAGAATTTATTTAATCTTTTAGTTTTATTTATAGTTATGTTTAATTAATATTTTTTACAAACTTTTATTTTTATTGACTACTTAAAATTATTTTTATTCTTTACTTTATTTTAAAATGATTTTATTTTAGTTTTTAATTTATTACTTATAATCAGATTTGTTTTAGTTTTATTAATATTTTAACTCTTTACTTTATTTTAAAAATTCTTTACTTTTTAGTTTTTATGTTGATAGTATTGCTTTTATTGATTGTTTATAGTTAAGTTTGTTTTAGTATTATTAATATTTTATTTTTTATTATTTACTTTTTAATTATTTTAGGTATGACTTTTTAAATATTTTGGGTATGACTTTTTAATGTGTTACTATTTTTCTTTATTTTATTTATTGGTGTATACCTGACTTGTTTTATTAATTTTATTTTTAGATATACTTTTTGGTAATATTCTTGTTTTTATTATTTTATATTTCATTCATATAAAATGAACACAAACTAAATCTATTTGATTAGAAAGGCATTAACAACAATATCAGTAATGGTATAAAAAGATAATTGTACAGAAATACACAGTATGAATGGATAGAAATAAACCATTTAAAACTAAAACAGAAATAAACAAATCAGATATTTTGAATGTATAACTGAAACAGTATTAAACAATATTAAAAAGAATTTTAAAAATCTATAACTGAAACAACATAAAATAATATTGATGATTGTTTTAAAATGTAAAACACATACAGAATTAAACGATAGTAAATACAATTTTAATTTGTATAACTAAAACAGAATTTAAAAAATCAGATATATAACTGGAACAATATTAACCAATATAGAATCAAATTTTAAAAAATGTAAAACAGAAACAAAATTAATTAAATTTTAAAATGTATAACTAAAGCAGAAATAAACAAATCAGATATTTTAAATGTAAAACTAAAACAGTATTAAACAATATTGAATCGAATTTTTAAAAATGTAAAACAGAAAAATTAAAGAAATAGAAATATTTTAATTGAATAACTAAAACAGTATTAATAATATTGAATAGAATTTATATCTTAAGCAGCATCAAATAAAACAGAATTTAAAAAATCAGATATTTTTAATGTACAACTGGAACAATATTAACCAATATAGAATCAAATTTTAAAAAATGTAAAACAGAAACAAAAATTAATTAAATTTTAAAATGTATAACTAAAGCAGAAATAAACAAATTAGATTTTAAATGTAAAACTAAAACAATATTGAATCGAATTTTTAAAAATGTAAAACAGAAAAATTAAAGAAATAGAAATATTTTAATTGAATAACTAAAACAGTATTAATAATATTGAATAGAATTTATATCTTAATCAGCATCAAACAAAATCAAAGACGATTAAATGTATACACTGAAACAGTATTAAACAAACCAAATACAATGTTTAATTGTAAACTCAAATAGAAAATTTTATAAATCTTTTAAAATGTAAAATCAAAAACAGAATTAAGAAAATTAATACAGGGGAAAATTTTAATTCTAACTAAACAAACAAGTCATTTGACAAAAGAGATCAAATATTAAACACAAACTTAACACATTTGATCAAAACGAATAACTAAAACATAAGGCTAGCTAACATAAATCAAAATCTAGTAATGAGTAAATAAAAACAGTGTTATTGATCAATCATCAACGTACCAAAGCATTTTTTATAGAACAGAGTATTGAACCTAAAACACGGCGATAACGTTCAGCTTTGTTCAGTAAATTTAATACCTCAGTCAGTTTCTGATTTGCACCCCTTAGTTGTTCATCTATATCACGCTGCTGGTGTAAAACATATTCAGATATCTGATTAATTTTTACCTGGTTTCGCTCCAGATATTGCAGAACTAGTTGATTAAAATGTGGTTCGACGATAGAGTTGGATCCTGTTTGTGTGAGATCATCGGCTTGTTGTTGTTGGAAAACGTGGTCTCCGACATGATTGTTTTCTTCCTGCTTTTCCAGCTCGTCTTCTTCTTCTACTTCTAAAGACAGGTATGGTGTATATACAGGGCTGCGACCGCCACCTAGCGTTGAGGCATAACCATTGATGGATTCACCGTCATCAGTCCAGCATTGAGGGCTTGGTGCTGAAACATCATTAAAAAGAAAAAGTCTTTAATATATTGTTTAGAAAGTCGTAATTTTACATTTAATAAAATAAAACACTCACAATGTTGTGCCTCAATACTGCATTCAGAAGGTCCGTGGGGGCTGCTAGCCGGTGACGTAGGAACTAGAGGAGAAATGCATATTGTAGTGGCAATTTTCTTTAAAGAGGCTCTCTCAGTGGTCAAGAAGACAAATTCTTACCCAAAGTGTCTTTTAAGGTTTTATTCTTTGCAAAGAAGGTCACAGTCATACATCAACGACAGTTTCTGAGACACTTCTGAGTCACTTCTAAGAGTGAGACAATGAAGCAAAGTGTGCTCATCCTTTTATCTGGGTTGTGCTGCTTACGAGGTCAATTCTAGTTCAACCTAAACCATACATACTACGTCAGGTGTGAAAACCATCCTGCTGCTTTCCAGTCATATATCACACAGCCCATGCCCCTTACCCCTAACAGATGTTCATCGTAAAGCCTAATTGAAAGATAAGGACCAGGTGGTCACATACGGGAATGTAAGGCTGTATAAACAAAAGTACACTGTGAACACAAGTGACTTTTCACACATTAAAAGATGAGGAGTAAGCAAGTTTTCACTACACATGTTCATCTAAAAATGAATTTCCATTACAATTCCTCTCTTTTTATCATTCATTGATAACTCGCTATTAAATTAATTTTTCAATTGAATACCAAATCACACTGATTATAATCATCACACTGGTTACAAAAATCATTTAACAGGTTTCTGCATACATCAAATACATTAGAGATGTTTAAACATTTTTCTTAATAGTTTCCCCATTAAGATTTATCTTTCAAAACATCCCTCTTCACTGGGAGCCGGGCTAAACGAATAATCACTGTTATTGCGCTCCCGATCGAAATCGGACCCTCAGTCACCCCACAGAGGTTCAAATCCCAGAAATTGCCTTTTATTTTCACATTATTATTGTTTCATACGCATAATAAATTCTGCAAAGCATTTCTTCAATCAGTTACAAATCACTAATACTCTACATCATTAGTTCACCATTAATAACATTCATAAACAGGAACACCTTGTTGTTACTTTACCCTTAATTCATCGCATTTACACTCTTCTCTCAAGTTTCATGCAAATGATCACTCTTTTGAGATTTGTTACAGAGTATACCAACTCATGCAGTTTGCTGTTTTTGTTTGGACAGACCCAAAATACGTATGAGCAAGCAGATAGTTATCTCAAATTTCAAAAAGTCAGGTCCGTTAATATTTTCCCAATTAAGTAACAGCCGTCACCGAAAATTTTGTTCTCAATTGTTTACGGGTTTTCTTTATCCATTTCTATGTAGCTGCTGCTATCATCAAAGTCATAATCAAAATCTTCACCCATGTCAATATTCATACCCTCTTCATTCACGGCCACTCTTATCATCTGATGGGATGTTGTAGGTGTAATCAGTCTGCCCACTGACCATAATACAGGTCTGAATATACATGGCAGACAACATAATATCACTACACCCACCCCCAATACAGATAACACCACAGTAAAGGCCCAGTAGATCCAGTTTCCCCACTTAAATGACAGCCAATCTAGCTATGGGTTGCTAACTTTCTTAGGTTCTTTTACTGTCATTCTCATGTGGGTCACAATGTCAGTAATGTTTTGCTGTAATCAGGTTAATTAAGGTGACACTAGCTGCAATGCCAGTGTTGTTCTCCTCAGACCACACATTCCTTGCACACGGAATGGATGCCAATCTTTTCGTCCATCTTCAGATCTTTAATGCGATGGTCAAGCTTATTCACCTCTCTTTTTGGTCGCTTTATCCCCCCCCCTTTTGTGCTGCTTGGTGTTGTATTTAGAAGTTACTGTTTCACACACACCTCTTGAGTTGTTGTTGTTTCTCCCCAGCTGTGACCTTGCTTCCCTCAGATAACAGCCTGATGTTTTCTTCAGACGGTTTCTGAGTCCCTCTTTCTCTCCTTCTCTCTCGTGGAATCCTCCTCAGGAGATGGAATTTTCCTGCAGTGGCCATCATGCACCCACGTTGCCCGCTCTGCGACCTTCACCGCCGTCTCAGTGATCAATAGCACTTGAAATGGACCCAACCAGCGCTTCGCTCTCCAGCTCTTTCTTCTCAGGTCCCTGATCACCACGAAATCGCCAGACCTCAGACTGTGCAGTGGTTTCTCAACAGCCTTCCCCTGTGCGGCCTTTACCTGCACACAAACATCGGACAACACATGAGACATTTCTTTACAGTAATTCAACATGTCATTCTCACACACATCTGTTGAGGGCAGCTGCTGTTTTCCCCCATTCACATCTACACGTGGTGGTTTACCAAAGAGAATTTCAAACGGGCTCAAATTCATTTTTGATCTTTTTCTCATTTTCATGTACATCAGGACAATGGGTAAAGCTTGAACCCATGTAAGCCCTGTGTCTTCACAGCATTTTGCCAATTTGTTCTTCAGTGTACCATTTTTTCTCTCAGCAACTCCTCCTGAAGCTGGATGGTAACTGCAATGTGTTCTCAAATCAATTTCCAAATATTGGCCCACTTGTTTGATTGCTTCATTAACAAAATGAGTACCATTATCTGAACTTATTTTTCGTGGTATTCCCCATCGCGGTATAATTTCAGTCAGTAACGTTTTTGCTACCGCAGCCAAATCTTGTTTTGAGGTTGGAAAAACTTCAACCCATTTTGACCACATGTCAACCATCACCAAAGAGTACCTTTTCTTATTGCATGGGGACAATTCAATGAAATCCATCATCAAATATTCAAATGGCCCTGTTGGAGGTGGATGAGATGATTGTGGAACTTTTATCGCTTTGGCCACATTATGTGTGTTGCAAATTACTCATCGTCTACAGAAATTGTCCGCAAATGTAGTGAACCCCTTTGTGAACCACAGTTCATTCATTTGCGCAACCATTGCTGTTTTTGACGCATGATCTTTACCGTGTAGTAATTTCTCATAATGTTGGAAAAAATGTTTTGGTAAACTTGCCTTGCCCTCAGCACACTTCCACACATTATCTTTCATAACACAGCCAGACTGTCTCCACTTGTTTTTCTCCAGCCCCATCGCAAAGGTCTGCATATCCTGCAAAGAACACTCATTCATTGTTATCATCAACAGATAGCAAAGAACATTCGGAGTAATCCTTGTCTCGGGATGCCGCGACTTTTGCTGCTCCATCTGCTCTGGAGTTACCTACAGAAACAGAATCTTTATTGTTAGTGTGCGCTGCGCATTTACAAATGGCCAGTTTGTCAGGTAGTAAAAATCGCATCCAGCAGCGCTGCCACTAAAGGAACATTGAGTATTGGTCGACCATCAGACTTTAGAAATTTTCTGTGTTTCCACAGAGCCCCAAAATCATGAGCTACCCCAAATGCATATCTTGAGTCAGTGTAAATTGTGGCCTCTTTTTCTGCCATTAATTTACATGCCTCTGTCAACGCCACGAGCTCTGCGGCCTGTGCCGAATAGTGCCCTGGTAATTTCCCAGAGGTCACCACATCAAATTCAGTTGTTACAGCGTAACCAACTTTATTCTGGCCTGTTTGTGGATCTTTAAATGCTGAACCATCCACAAAGAGGACATTGTTACAATTTTTAAGTGGTTCATCAAAGGTCAGGTCGTGGTCTACACACCTGTTAAACAACAATGATGCTCCTCCCAATTTTCCTCAGTATGATGGAGAGTAGCAACATTCAAACCTGTGCATCACTTAACAGTCACATTTAGCATATCTAACAAGAGTGTGATATCTCAGCCAGCGAGCTGTTGACAGATGCAATGTTTTTTGTTCTTGGAGTATCATGGACACAGAATGTGGCACCATCAGTATCAAATCAGAATACCCAACAAAATCTCTTGAAGCCATAACAGCTTTTTCCCGCAGCCGCCACTGCTCTTGAGCAACGTGGCAGGCCTGCTACTGCAGGGTCAGGTTTGCTCAAAGTAGGCCACAGGTCGCAATCTACCTCCATGATCCTGCAGGAGTAATGACGTCATGAACCCACCTCTTTCATCTACCATCTGAACAAATGGTTTTGTTGGTACAGGCAAACCCAATGCAGGGGCTTCAGCCATTTGTAATTTCATGTTTACAAATGCCTGCTGTGCCTCTGTTGTCCACTCTAGTTTGTCAGTGGATTTCATCCCCTTCCCTAGTGTTAGGGCTTTCAGGGGTTTTTCCAAAATTGCATAATTTGGAATAAATGTGAGACAATATGAGCACATACCCAAAAAAGACAACATTGGCACACTGAAAAATGCATTTGCCAAATCAACCACTGAATAAAATTGTGATTTTTCAGGAGTTTGTGACAAAATTGTGTACGGATTTGGAACTAATGGAGCCCTTTGTTTGACAGCTGCATTTACTGCTTGCAAATCTTGTACAAAACGCCATTCTGTAGGCATCACATTATCCCTTATCTTTTTCACAGGAAAAATAGCGGTGCGAACCTCAGAATTGTTGCATGGTACAATAACACCCTGTTCCAGTAAAGCCTTAAATACTGGGGTAATGCCCTCAATGGCTTCCCTTTTCAAAGGATATTGTTGTTGGCATGGTCTGTAATCAGATTTTGCAGCAATTGTCACTGGATCACAACCTTTGATTAAACCAACATCATACTTGCTTTTAGCCTATAATTCATTTGGTATTTCTGCTAAAGCTGGGTGTATGTCTGCAGCGTTAAAGTCAACCATGCAAGAATTCTTTACGCAAACTTTGTCAATAGCAGTCACAGTTCTTGAAACAGCTGTTTCAGTTTCACTGTCCACCCGAAATACTCTCGAGCTCTCGATCCATTCTAACCCTTTCTCTCTACTCTCCCAGTCTTCGGCTTCAACACACTGCTTTACAAATAGGCCTAAATCAGCTCAAGACTGTTGTTTACCCTTGCAAACTGATATGTGAGGCACAGCCTGTGCTAACATGAGATAGAATGAAAGCTGCTTTTCTGACAGAGACACTGAAACTGCACACAGACTATCCTTTCAGTACATTTTCTCTAAAATCAAAGTTTCATTCACATTTGTCTCAAACCAAGCTTTCTCAAATTCCTAATCTGTAAATTACGACATGTGACGTGCAATGCAGTTCACCAAGAGACATATCCATGTCAAAAGGTTTTACTCAATCTTTAGCCAATTTGCAGATTACATCAGCCCATTGATTGTTTTCAATGAGTCTGTGATTCAACCAGCAAACAACAAAATTCCTCCTTTTTTTTCCACTCTCACACCTGAGAAGTCTGCTGTTAGAACTAAGTTTAATTTACACAAAATATCCCCTCCAATGAGTGGTATCAGACATTTTGGCAAACAAACAAATGCATGGTTGAAAATTTTACCCCCCTCTGTCTCACAGGTCAGCCGAGCTGTAAATCGCTCGATCACTGTATGACCAGATGCAGACAGAGACTCGTGAATTTTTTTTTTGTCAAAGGTATTACACACTGCAGGTCACATGGTCATATGCAAGATCTGCTAGCTCCACTATCAGCTAAACTCAACCAATGTATTCTCAATCCTCAAAGAGTATTTTGGCATATTAAAAATGCTTCATTAAAAAAACAATGCCATTTCATCAGAAAAATGATCAACATTACTGTGATCAAAATTACAGTAGGAAATGCAAGCTTTCTTCATTGCAGAGAGCCAAAAGTATGTCAGTGTATGTGAATATGTGTGTATAAAAATGTGTCTGCATTTAAAGTTGTTAGTAAAAATATGTTCACTTCCCTTTACTGTAGCTGTTGGCTGCTTGCCCAGACCCTCTCCATTCTGCTCTTCCCTCTCCGCACATCAGCTCCGTTGTTGGTTCGCACCTTTCGGGTCAATCCTTGACCAAAAGTCCATCTCGGTGGCAAGCGCAGACATTTGGTACAGTTTCACGTCATGTACACCACAGGCTCTGCAGATTTCATCGCCATCCGTCACATTCCAGTTTCTCCATCTTCTGGTATCTTTCTCACCCTTGACACCTTTGTAGCCTTTAAACTTGCGATATCTTTGGTTGTCAGGTCTTGGTTGGATCTTTGGTTGGCCACTTGTATCAGAGCCATGCACAGCTCCCTTTCCGCTTTCTTCTTGTCTTGCTCTTGCTTCACTGTCAGCTTGTCTTCAGCATGTTGCAGAATGTCCGTTAAATGTCCATTTCTCCAGTTCAAACAGATGTCCTCCACTTGCTTGAGGTGGGAATTTCGTTGGTGCGGTCGGAGGTCTTCTGGGATAGTAGCAGTTGAGGTCTGGGTCAGTTCTCAGGGCTCACAGCTCAGCCACAGGATAGTGAAGGTACGGCGGTACATGTATGGAAACAGATGTATAGAAAAGATTAGTAATGCTAATTAATCTTTCATTTACACTTTCACACTTTCACTTGCTTTTTCCTTCACTTTATCTCCTTCATTCTTTTCCCTACATGCCACTTCTTCATTCTCTTCCCTACATGCCAGCTGCCTCTGCAGCATTTTCCTCTTTGCCTCTTATCTGCCTTTTTGAGCCAACAATAAACAGTGTCTCCACACGACACACACACATGCCTTTCACAAAAACAACCTGCTTTTCCTTCTGCCTTCTCAATCAACTCTTTCATTTTGTTTAACCTAGTAACACTCAACATTCCCTTTCCCTCAGAAACTTATTAGTTAACTTATTAAAGAATACTTTATTAGTTTTCCTATATCTTGCATGCTTTTTAAAAAAAGTTTTCCATATAATTTTTTTTCCCATATTCCAAACCACCGGTTTATCATATTTTCTCACCTTACTTTGGGACTTCCCCATGCTGGCAATGATCCTGGACTTTGTCGGTTCCTATTAATCTGTTGGACGTCTCCAACAGATGTCGATTTTTCACCTAAAATCGAAAAGTTAAGCTATGCAGCTCTAATTTCGTGGCCCCCAATTTCAACCCCCTTTAAGAAGTAAATCGCTTGGCCCCTGATTTCAACCTCCTTCTGGAAGTAAATCGCACAGCCCGGATTTCAACCTCTTTTTTGGAAGTAAATCGCACAGCCCCCTGATTTCAACCCCCTCCTGGGAGTAAATCGCAGTTAGCTAGCCAAACGTATTAAAAAGGTCTTGATCTTAGTCAGGCACCAGATCTCACTTGTGTAAGGTCTTGATCTCAGCTAAACGCCAGATCTTACTTGTAAAAAAGGTCTCGATCCCCGCCTGATGTCAGATCTCACTTGTATTAATCACGTCGCTATCCCACAAAGACAGACCCGCCAGCATGGTGATGACCCAAATTGCAGTAAAAACCCTTTTAAATTGCCTAATTAAATACCCAAAACTTGTTAAATTTTTTTTTTAACAATAAACAAAGAATTTGTTTCTTACCAGAGAGTTCAGATGCCACTGAGTTCTTTTTCCCAGATGTCAGTGGGGTTCTTCTCCGAGCCCGGCGGTCGGCCCCTCAACCCTCAACCAAGGGGGCAGGGCTGTGACACGAAGTCCCAGGATGATCAGTCACCGTCCGCAGGGTCCGGAAAAGTTCCTCCAAGACATCCCACTATTCTGACACCAAATTGTAGTGGCAATTTTCTTTAAAGAGGCTCTCTCAGTGGTCAAGAAGACAAATTCTTACCCAAAGTGTCTTTTAAGGTTTTATTCTTTGCAAAGAAGGTCACAGTCATACAGCAACGACAGTTTCTGCAGAGTGAGACAATGAAGCAAAGTGTGCTCATCCTTTTATCTGGGTTGTGCTGCTTACGAGGTCAATTCTAGTTCAATCTAAACCACACATACTACGTCAGGTGTGAAAACCATCCTGCTGCTTTCCAGTCATATATCACACAGCCCATGCCCCTTACCCCTTACAGATGTTCATCGTAAAGCCTAATTGAAAGATAAGGACCAGGTGGTCACATACGGGAATTTAAGGCTGTATTAACAAAAGTACACTGTGAACACAAGTGACTTTTTACACATTAAAATATGAAGAGTAAGCAAGTTTACACTACACATGTTAATCTAAAAATGAATTTCCATTACAATTTATGATGTAATTTAAATTAACAGAAATGTGTACACATCATAACCGATTAATGTATTTTCAAAGTTAATAAAACACTTACGTTGTTGTATTTCAAAAACACTTTTACCAGGTCCGAGCGGGCTGGTATCCGGTGATCACGGAACTAAAGTAGCAGATATTGCATATTCAGAAAAAAAAAATCAAACTAGGTCTAGCATGAAACATTCAGCATGGACGGACGCACAATTCAACAGTTATAAATTACATAGCTTTAAACCGCATAAAACAAGATGATACATTACCTAAACGAGATTCATCTTCATCATCACCATCATATTCAATATGTTGATCCTGTACGGTGGTATAAATTTTCAGCCTCTTGTTTGAAACAGGGCTAAAGTTATAATCAAGGCGTCTTTTTTCCGGCCGTGTCGAGCTGACCAACTTTGCTTGGACCAGATCGGTCGCTTCTTGCTCGTCCTCCGCTGTTAAATCAATAACTTCGATTATATCTGAAACATAAAAGCGAAAATATTGTATTAATAACGTTTTAGATTATCTACAACTGCACCATTCTAGAGACATTAAATGACCAAAATCACATGACTATTTCTGTGGCCTGTGTGAAAAGCGCTCGTCTTCGAGCCACGTGTGTTTTCTAACCGGGTTTCGAATCCACGCTAGGATACAATGGGCCTAGAATATTTCATTTAAATATAACATATACCTTCTTCCCTTTGGTCGTCAGCATTGGATCGAGGCCACACTACGAGATAAAGCAGAAATGTATGATTTAAAACAGCCGTTTATATAACATATAAAATATCCGTATAAAACAATATTTACTCACAGAATTGGTTGATGGCTTCAAAAGCATCAATCTCTGATGAATATAATTCTGTAACATAAAAGCTGATAGATTGAAAATATTTCAGGTCACAGTATGACTGACGAAGTATTACTTAATGTAATGTATTACAGCATAATAATAATATTTTACTTACGACGAGCCATGCTTCCTCAAAAAGTTTAGTGTAGACTAGAAGAGCTGGTGAAGGAGACGATTCACATCAATGGGCGATGACCAGATGAATAACTTTCCCAGGGGTTGTCTGCAGTATTTAAGTATAAAGATGTGGGGGTCATGCCAGGTGTCGGAGAGAGATAAGAACCATAAAAATTACTTGAATGTATTACTTTCAGAATCACAAACATGGACTTTTATATAATAGTAGAAATAAAAATATGTTTTATATATTATGACAGCTAGTTTATAGATTATTTAATTTATTAAACAGTATCGTTAAAACCTGATATAACCTAATGGAATAAATTGAATGTAGGGTTAAATAAAGTATATATATAGTCGTGTATGTATTATATCACGCATATCTTTAATATTGAATCATTTCACTTTATATGAATGAAATGGAAAACTGTCAGGGTTCTGCCACTTTGATCTTGTAAATTCTTGTTTTGGTGGCAGAGCTCTGACACTACTCATGCCTGGTCCTGTTTCTGTCTGTGTGCGCGCGCGCCGTCATGGGTGTACGCAGAGTGTGCGCGCTGCCGCTTCATGTGGCCGCGCACGCTCTGCGTCCCTCAGACGCGCGCACTTGTACTAGTGTTTGTGTTTGTTCTGTCAGCAGCGCGCTGCTTTATTCTCAGCGCCTCCGTCTAGTTGGTTTCAGTTTTGGTTGGCGCTGAGATGAAGCATGCGCATTGCTTATGTGTGAGCGCACGGTAAGGTGTTTATCTATCGTGTGCTCGTGTCTTGCGTCTTTTGTCAAAGCACGTGGCTCGGTGTTTACATTGTGGTCACGTGCTTTTGTCATGTGCTTTAGTGTTGTGTTTGTTGACATGAACATGCGGTTAATGAGTTCTCTCATTGGCTGCATGTTCTTGTCCTGTTAAGTGAGCGCATGGCTTGTGTTGTCTCTGTGTCATGCGCTCTCCCGTCTATTGTCTTGTCCCACCCTCCTTGTTAACCCATTATTAGTTAATTGTGTTCACCTGTTTGTGTGTTAATTTTCTACAGTTTATATACCCCTCACATTTGCTGTCCTGTGCCAGTTTGTCATCACATGTAGTTGTTTGAAGTCCTGTCGTGGTTCCAGTCCTCAGCCTTGCCAGTCTGCCCAGTCTGTAAATGTATTTGTTTTGTTAATGTTTTCCCCCTCGGGGTAGTTTATTTTGCATTTTGTTTTATTTTTATTATTTAATAAAATCCCCACTTTCCTGCGCTTGAGTCCTCGCTCCTTTTTACCCATTTCCCCTCACCAACCCCGACAGAAAACATTGTTATTATCTATTATTGTAGTTGGATAATCTATAATCAAGCATCCGGAAACATTTTAACATGTAATATTACTGTTTTAATGGTGACATAAATACGTGGTTATTTTAATTAAAATATCAGATGTGTTTGGATAAAACATGGAATATTATAATTGTAACTAATATGGTCTTTTAGACTATTGCATCCAAGTTGATGTAATACACTCGCTTATTATTTAGATAAGGTTAAACATATTTAATTTAATTGGGTGAAAATAAGGGAATAAATGAAAATATGTATTTGCTGAGTAAACACTAGATGGCGCTAGAGGTCTATGTTTGTGCTCAGAGATCCTTGGCGCTTATCGGTATCAAAAGACCTTAGCGGAACCACCCGCTGTTCATGTTCACAGATCTGTTCGGATCCTTACTGTGTTTATTACAACGGACAACGGCTATAACCTTATCGCAGAGACCTGTAGGCGCTTCATGCTGCGCTGAGGAAATTAGTTCGACAGAGGTGCCGTACGACGGTTTGCATAACAGACAGCCAAATTCAAAGAAACGTAAACGCAGTTTAATGTTTGTATCAAAAAAAATTTAATAGACTAAAACAAGACGTTCAATAATGATTATCTGACGTATGCCAGATTATTAATGTAAACAATATATAACCTAGTTGCGGCAATTATTAAAATGATGTAAGAGGTTATCATTAGCCTGGATTAAAATATGTAACAACGTGGTATTGAGTTAAACATCATACCAAAATGATGATGGTTTATTAAATAAAGTTTCTTGAATTCATTTCTTCTTATATTTCTATATTGAGCCAAAATAATATAACATTCAAATCGTGTTGAGTGTTTATAATAATATTTAATATTCATTGTGTATGATTTTAAATGATTTGTAATTGAACATTTATTCACAGGTTACATCATAGATAGATTAAAAAAATTGTACGAGATAAACTTTACGTTAGAAATGGGTCTTACAACCGAGTTAATCGTTTATTGTTTCATTATAACATTTAAATAAAGTTAAATATTTGATATTCATTGTGTAGTAATATAAAATATTTGTAATTGAACATTTATTCACAGTTTGCATCATAGATAGTTTAAAAAATTGCATGAGATAATCTTTACATTAGAAATGGATCATACAACACAGTTAATCGTTTATTATAACATTGAAATAAAGTTAAACAACCATAATAATCATGATGGATAAATATTTTTCTATGTTGAACAATCATTGTCTCATTCGCACACATAGAGAGACATACAAACAGACCGAGAGCCGTACCAGAGAGACGCAAACAGATATAAAAACAGAAAGTCTCACGCTTAAACAGCCGGAAAGAGCCGGTATGAACGATAACCATGTAAACGAACGTTTATTCAACAAACCAATGTCATAATGTTCGCTTATCAGATACACGCATACGCTGTAAAAGTCATCAGATGTATTTTATCTTTCTCAAGCACGCTTCAACCGGTTCAAATTTCCCGCACACACACACACACACACAGACACCCACGCAGGCACAGCCAGAGCCTCTCGACACACCCAGAGCCGGAGAGACGCACACACATACACAGACACGCAGTTCTGACCATAACAGAGCAAAGGCAACACAGCGGTGCATATACCTTATTAATTCAAACATAATATATTAACATAATATATTATAATATATAATTTAATTATAATAACATAATTTAAAACAATAATGACAATATAATATTGTATAATTATAATAACTGAATTTATTACAATAATTAAAATATAATACTGTATAATAGTAAATAATATAGATTTAATAACGGTTGATATTATTTATTTCATTACAAATCTATTTCATAATATTAAAATATTGTCACCTCCTGGTGCTCCCAGAAGCGCTTACCTGGCGATTGTAATCATCAATAAGAGAGTGATCCAGTATGTCCTTTGCAGGAACCCAACTCCTCTCCTCCGCACCATAACCTTCCCAGTCCACCAAGTACTGAAATCCTCGCCCCCTCCGTCTCGAGTCCAGAATACGCTTAACCGAATAAACGGTCTCCCCATCTACGAGAAGCGGCGGGGGGGGGGGGGGGGGGGGGTGGGGGGGGAACCGGTGTGGGCGGGTTAATTTCCGTATGAAAAACGGGCTTTAATTTGGAAACATGAAACACGGGATGTATTCTCCTGTACGCTGGAGGAAGTTTTAGGCGGACTGCCACCGGACTAATGATCTTGATGACAGTGAATGGGCCAATGAATTTAGGTGCAAGTTTATTACATACGGAACGCAATGGAATATTCTTAGTTGAAAGCCACACTTTTTGACCGACGACGTAA